CCAAAAGGCCGTTATTTAAAGAGTTTTAGAGCTATCTCCTTAAAATTTAAATATTATGTGTAATTTTATATATAGAAAAAGTTTTGTTAGGCTCAAAAATTAGGTTATCTTAATAAATTGTTGCAAAAATAAGATTTTATTAAGTTGGTTTTTAGAAAAAATTTTTGTACGAGTGATTGACGGAAAGAGTTTTTTAAAAAATTTCATTAAATAATTGTCTAGCTAATTATGAATAGAAAGCACTATTAAATAAGTTTTATATAAATTTGTTTGACTAACTATTATATTTACTTATTTGAATTTGAGGCACAAAATAGCCATGTCCTACAGTTTTGGGCAGATGTCACTCATCGCGAAGAAGATAATAAAAGTAGCAAAAATAGTAAGTTTATGCTCAAAAATTTAATTACAAGTATATATTATATTTATTATTTTTTCTAACTTAATTTAATATTACCGGTAATAGTTCATAATTTAATGAATTTTGCATCTGGGAGATTCCTCTTGTAACTTAAGTTATGTGATGATTTGGTACAACTTGACAATTTTAAGAAACTTGTGAATAATATGATAGAAGAGCATCGTAAAGTTATTATACAAAAGACTCAAGAAGTATACAAAAAGAGGATCATTCAAAAATGGAAAGAAATAGCAGTTAGTAAAATTAAATCTGATTTAAAAATATTGATAATAAATTCTTTTTGACATTTTTACATTTTAGTATTTTAATTCAATTTTGTTACAAATCTTAGAATAATATATAGCTTAATGAAAATAATCAGGAAATTAGTGAATTATTATTCATGATTAATTTCTGAATTTAATAATTAAAACATACATAGGCTGCCGTCAATAAAAATCAAACAATTCTACATTTTAAAAAAAAAAATTTAATGCCTGGGTCAACTATGAACTAGTTCACGAACAACTGAACTATGTTACAGTATACTTATAGAAGCATTCCAATCAAGGAATACATTTAGCAGGCTCGATCACTTCGTCATCTATAGCTGATTATTTATGGATTCAATACATCGAAGAAGGAAGCAGATAACTTTCTTTTGATCACTGTCTGATTTGAAAATAAAAAAGGAGGACTAGCTGCTTCACTCAATAAAAAAAGTTCTATTATTGCTTCAAATTTAATCCTGCAAAACACAAAATCAATATTTATAAAATGCTGATGAAAGTTGGAATAATTGAACATGATTTTTATGTTTCATATAAGAATACAATAAATATTTCAATTAATCGCAATATATTTACAAATTAAGTTAGGGTTAAATGTTAGCAAGATGTATAGCAAAATCATTCAAAGAAGTTTTGATATGTGCCAATTAGCATCACATTAACAACCATACATGTAATTAAGTATTGTAATGTTATTTTTTATGTATTTAAATAGGTTGTCAAATATTAAATAATTTATTTGTCCAATTATGCCTTTTCTGACAATCTAATAGAAATAAAATTGTTTATTGTGTTGAAAGACAAGAAACTTTCAGAGACACAATCAGAGATACGAAATTATATAATATGACAAGTTTTGATTCTTATTAGTCATTCACAAAATTTCTATGCAAAATAATGCCAAAAACTAATACTCTCCTATATACTGTATTTCTCGTTCACCTATGCCTAAACTAATAATTAGTTATTTATATTAATTGTAAGGATTTTATAATTTATTGCTATAGCGTTATATTGCTAGTCTCTATAAGTTACGTAGCTATAGTAATAATATATAGGATCAGCAGTTTGTATTATATAGAATTGGCAGTTTGTATTATATAGGATCGGCAGTTTGTATTACATAGGAACGGCAGTTTGTATTACATAGAATCAGCAGTTTGTGTTACATAGGATCAGCAGTTTGTATTACATAGAATCGGCAGTTTATGTTCTATAGGATCGTGTCATATTATTTAATTGTATAATGTTACTCAACATAGAGTTTGAACTAGTTTTATTTTTCATACGTT